TTTGTGGGTGAGAGGTACTGATACAGACAGTGGAAAGAAGAGCTGGTTATCTCATTCTCATCAGGAAGATCATACAGTTCTATGACTTGGGATATGTCATAGGCATCAGAGTACAAAGCAGGAACTGAGGCTACCAGCTTCTCCCACTGAGTATCTTGCATTTGGAAATCACTTGTGAGACTCTCAGTGAAGGTAGAGTTCCATGCCCAATTGGAAGGGCCTAAGGGCTGAGGTGGAAGGGAGCTGTAGAAATCTGAAACCACAGGAGAAAAAGCATAAGAAATGATAGATGTTCTCAGGAAGGTGGGCACATCCTTCTTGGATTGAAGAATCTGGTTTGGTAGCATTGCTGATTGCTGCTGCTGTCGCTGCTGCTGCTGTTGCTGCTGCTGCTGCTGCTGCTGCTTTTTCTGTTTGAATCGCCGGTTCCTGAACCAAACCTGGGAGTGGAGGAAGAAGGGAGATGATGGTCTGTTCTTAGAGAAGGCATTTGAGGCTTCTCCTGAATGAAAACAGCCAGATTATAATCTTCATGTCCTCTTCAATTCACCGTGACACTGTGTTCTGCAAGAGCAGTGATGGGCATGACTGGAGTCAATAGGAGGGACGACAAAGATCAGGTCTGGGACCCCAGGAAGGAAGAAAGGGGGTGTGTTTCAGAGTTTGTGCTGGGGGTTCAGAGACAGGGTCATGAACTCGAGAAGAGAGGCTAGTTCAGGGATCTAGGATCTAGGGATAGGTGAAGAATATGAACTGAAGGATTTTCAAGGATTATTTTAGGAGGTCTCTACTATGAAAAATACTCCAATAAAAATGTATGGCCCGTCATGGTGGCTCACGCCTGTAATCTCAGCACAGAGTCTGAGGCAAGAGGATCACTTGAGCTCAGGAGTTTGAGACCGGCCTGGGCAACATAGTGAGATCCCATCTCAAAAAGAAAAAAAGAAAAAAGTACAAGAAAAATGTTATGGGCTTAAGCAGGCTCAGAGGTTAGAGGGAGTATTGTTTGTTGGTAGCATTATGAATAAACAGATGGCAGGCCTTTGCTTTGAAAAGACGCTCAGTGAGGAGTCTGTCTGGATGAGAGGCTTTCTCCTGTTTGAACTCTATAGTACAGTGTTAAAAACAAGATTCCTGGAGTTTTAATTCTAGCAACACTACTTATTATCTCTGTGGCCCAGTCACTCTGCCTCTGAACCTCATTTTTTCTCGTCTTTCAAACTGCATGAAATTGAGGCCAGTGTTTGCGATGCCCCCAGTTTAGTACTGTTTCAGTAGGTACTCAATAAATAGAATATTATTGTGGGGCATGGTGCATGGTGGGGAATTTCGAGGCTGGACAGGTGAATGTGGCTTGGATAGGGGTATCAAGGACACCTCAGGGATCAGACCTTTATTGTTGATTCTGGTAGGTCAAGTTTCAAAGCTAGTTTCTCCTGACGATTTCTATCTGGGAACATGGTCTCACGAAACAGAGCTTCTAGCTCTTGATACTGTTCGCGGGTGAATGAAGTACGTTCTTGATGCCTTCTCCATGTTGCTTCAGGGCAGAGATAAAGAAGGGGTGGTTACATTTACATTACCGATCTCTCCCCCAACCAAGAAAACAAATAACAAAAAACAAATCACCACTGTGAATCTCCCATGCCTTTCCTCCAGCCAGGATTAGGATCCAGAAAATGCAGATTCCAAGTCTTGAGTATGAATGGCTGAGCCCTGGGTAACCACGCTCTGTTCTCTGCTTTCTGAGATTTTGTCCCTGATAGGACATCAGTTACCTTTTCAATTTTCTCTGCATTCAGTCTGTTCACTCTGGAAGCTGGCTCCCTTGATTTTCAGTTTGCCCACCTGCACTGAAAAGCTTTCTGTTTTACTTTTTTTCTGTGTTACTCAGTCTTTCTACCCTACCTAACCTCAAGAAAGTAGATAGTAGCTTCCGTCTTCTCATCTTTTCCACACTTTCGTTTTTCTAGAAACTAGGAATATTCTGTGCAAGAGCTAGCCAAAATTAAAAAAAAAAATTATGAAATAGAAGAAACTAGGAATAAACCCCATGTCTTTGCACCTGAATATAACCCACTCTTCAAAATGGGTTTCCTCTCTTCATTTATTTATTCAGGAACCTAGTCCAACTTGTCTGGCAAATAGGTGCTCTCACTCTCTTTCTCTCTCTCTCTCTACCATGCCTGGTAGGGCTTTTTCTTTTATGGGATTTCTGAGGCTCTATTCACTACTTCGGTGAAAAGATCATAAGAAATCAAATGTGGTCAGCATGATGTGCTTACATCTGTAATCTCAGCACTTATGGGAGGCTAAGGAAAGAGGATCACATGAGTGGAGGTGTTTGAGACCAGCCTGGAAAATGTAGGAAGACCCTATCTGAATGAAAAATTTAAAAATTAGCTAGGCATGGTTGCATGTGCCTGTGGTCCCAACTATTCTTGAGGCTGAGGTGGGAGGATTGCTTGAGCCTGGGAGGCTGAGGCTGTAGTGAACCATGATTGTGTCACTGCACAGTCATGTGTCAGCATGGGTGACAGAGTGAGACTCTGTCTCAAAATAAAATAAAAATAAATATGTGTAGAAGCTCTCTAGCAGAACTGCAAAAATATATATGTGTGTGTGTGTGTGTGTGTGTGTGTGTGTGTAGAAGATTGAAGAAGTATAGTTTTTTTAAAATGGCAACGAAAAGGAAAAGTGTTTTTTCTTAAAAATTGAAATTATTGGCCAGGTGTGGTGGCTCATGCCTGTAATTGCAGCATTTTTTTTTTTTTTT